CCCAGTACTGACCCCTGTGGAACACCACTGGTCACGTCTCCACTTGGACGTTGAGCCATTGACCACAACTATGCTGTTGCCTTTCTTTATGCTCTTTCTAACTCTAGTGTACATCTAGATGTAAGACAGGGATGGGAGAGAGGAGAGCCCTGCAATAGCTATATCGGATGTGGGCACACCATGGCTTCCTGCAGTGGTATCATGATGGTGTCCCTGTCCTCATGTTCTACATGAGCTTTACATTACAAACCCAACATCTCACTCAGAATGGATGATTATCAGTTCAAAGCACATTACTGTGTATAAAAACTTAGGGGTTTGGGAGGTTGTTGGTTTTAGGTGGGGTTGGTTTTTGTTTTATTTCTCCTCTTCTCATGAGTATTACTTTACATTTATTAGGAATTAATTTAATCTTTGGTTTTTTCGTGGTCAATTATCAGATGGTCCATCTGCAGCCCTCTGTAGTCACCTTTCATTTTCATTCCCCTGAATAATTTAATATACGTTTGAGATTTTTTTTACTATACTGTTCATCCTCTTTTCTAAATAATTTATAATATGTTGAGAAGCACCAGCCCTAGCACCGATCCCTGTGGAACCCACCAGCAAACTACATTCATTGAGTAAGCTGTTCATTGATCCCTTCCGTTTACTCCCAGTACTTTATCCATGAACTTCCTCTCTTGTCCCATGACAACTTTGCTTTCTTAAAAGCTTTTGCTCAAATACCTTACTGACAGCCTTTTGGGCTGTAAGGTTTCCTCATGCTTTTGTTGTTTCTTTGTGGATTTGTGAGACTTACTTTCTCTTTACACAGTTCACATTAATTCCTCCCTAATATAGCATATCTATCCATTGGTCTACTAATTCTTTATTGCTTATTCTTTATTTTGGTATCTATCAATTATACCAGTCTGGGTGTCAGTCTCACCAGAGTATGGTTCCCTGGAGAGCCCCGTCCCCTTTTAAAAAATGTATTTGTATCATCTATGACACTTTCCACTACTCTGGTGCCAAAGCAATTTTAATCAAGAAGTCAGATGCTTAGCATTAATAGTTCAACTGTTTCACCCTTGAGTTGCTATTGAACTCCAAGGCAAATACCATCTGGTTTGGATGATTTGTTTCTATTAATTTTGTCAGTTTGTTTTGCAACCTGTTCTACTGATACTGCAATCTGAGACGGATCCTCTGATACTTTTTAGACTAAAAAAAAGATCTCAGCATAAGAGTTTGCCTCAGATCCCCTGTATAAAACATAGATGCAGAAATATAATTTATCTTGTATTAGCCTTCTGAAACTGCATTAATGTGTTTTGTTAATTGGGTTTGCTGAGTCCAATCTATAAAGCCAAGTTGTTTCCCCAGTTTCAGAAAATAAATTATGGAAACCACTGGATCTGTTTCAAACTTTGGCTCCTGAGGGCTGAAGTTTCTTTTCCCTTGTAGTTAGCAACATGAAGCAGTGTAATATGGTATCCCCCGCGTAATTTTAGCATCAGTTGTCTTGTCTGAGAGTATCACTGTATGGAATCAAAGGGGTTTATGATGACCCTTCCATTTCTGTTCAAAGAACAAAGGGGAAAGAAAGCCATTGCCAGCGGCCCAGAAGTCTTTCCTTTATCCCTACAATTCCAACAATCATAAACCTCCCATAACACCGTAACGTGTTCTGTGTTTGTTCCTTTCTCCACAAACAAATATAAGCTTCTGCCCTCATCTTTTTTGTTGTCTGCTGGATACAAATATCTGAGAAGCTGCTTTTCCAGTGATGATCTACAAAAGAGGGGGCACAGCAGGGGTGCCCTGTGATTCCCAAAGTAGCCCTGCCTAGTCCTGAGTGCTGGTATTGGGGCATTCAGAGTAGGGAGGATACATGACTGTAGAACCCTGTTCGGGAGGGCAGAAGCCTTTACATTGTAGTGAGTGACAGAAAGCCGAATTATTTTCTAGCTCTTTTCTAGACTGTATCTATGCCCTTTATTGCAAAAGCAGACACAGGGGCAGCAGATATCTGCATTATCTGAGCCTCTTCCACTGCAAATAAATCCCGAGAAGCGTTCCCTTGCTGCCATCGTGTGGTCCGTTGGATTGCTTCCTGAGACTATGCTTGTGCCAGTGGGGATTGGGACTCCCCCAGGCTTTCTCAAGGCACAGTCTTCGGTAGAAGTGGTCCTAAAATGGGAACAGGATTACTTACCTTCACTTTTTTGTGATCTGTTCAGAAGCAACTTGTGATTCTTAATTTAAAATTGTTTTATAGTTTCTGAAGGTTCACACCAGTATTGGAGGTAGTGGTACAGTGTCTGTACCCTTCTAGGATTTGCATCCCCAGAGGGCTGGCTGTTAAATGGGTTAGATGTGCCTTTTGTAGCACATCTGCAGCCTGGCAGAGAAATCAATGACTTGGGCTAGTTACAAGCCTGTTCCTTTGCTGTGAGTGTGTCGAGCACCCACACCTCCCCTCATGGTACCCTGCTGTTTTTTTCAGCCTGTGGAGTCAGATTTAAAGATGCCACAGTTGAGGTTTCTGGTTTAGTTTAGTCCATTCACTTACATATACTTAATTGTAATGTCAAAGTCCTGCTTATAGTTTATGTCCACTTTTTTTTTTTTTTGCCAGTGAGCTGGAGGCATTTGTTGAAGACCTGAAGAGGGACTCTACTGCTTCCAGCAAGACAGTTACACTGAAAGATGTTGAAGATGGAGCTTTTCTTTTACGTCAAGTGGGAGAAGCTGTTGCCACCCTGAAAGGTAGGTACTTTTCCTTTTTACTTTTGTTTCTTCTCTTTTAACCACAGTGGCTGAGAACAGTTTTGCCTTTTATCTGGGGGCATTAACTTTCACTTCCAAAAAGATTTAAAGTTGGGATTAAGGAGCTTGTTGCATGGCCACTGGAGAGGGGTAGACACTCAACTATTTAACATTCACCCCATCATCCATTTCTCCACAGGGCTTTTATCATTTCCTCTTGAGCTTCACAGCTGTTATCTTTGCAGGAGAATTCCCGACATTACAGAATAAAATGCGTGCGATCCTCCGAATTGAGGTAGAAGCCGTGAGGTTCCTAAAGGAAGAACCACACAAGCTTGACAGCTTGCTGAAACGTGTGCGCAGCATGACTGATATCCTTACCATGCTCAGGAGGTGATTTTTTTTTTCTTCAAAACTAAATAATTTCCTCAAGCAGGGCTGGAACAGGTTCTCCCCCTCTCCTAAGGCAATTTTGAGAAATGCAACTTGCTTGCAGTATTTTATGGATTCTTCCTAGAGCCTTCTCAAGGGAAATGCAAATAGCCTTTCCTGTGGTCTGTGCAGTGGTTCTGTTCTGACCAACAGCCGCAGTCGCTGAGTTCTTAGGATTGAAACTAGCTCCCTCTGAACTCAGCATTTCCAGATTTGGGAAATACCTGGATGAGAAAGCTTACAGAGTGGCATCAGTCCCATATCTGAGCTAATTAACTGTAGGCATTTACAGCATTCTAAGCCAATAGAAATATTCTTTGACACTGAAGTGTCCATCCCCGAAAGTGTAACAGTAAGAAAGAGAAAAGGAGAAGATTTTAAGCAGATAAAGATACTCTAAAGTTTCTGGGAAAAAAAAATATATTTTTCAATATGCTTGTGAATTCATGCAGATTCTTTATTCTACTTTTTGCAGGGAAGATATGTTAGAGAAAGTTGAAATTAGATAAAATTTGTGCCCACTGAGTGCCAGTGTTTAGCTATGTTTGTCAGAATGTATAAGCAGCAAATGACTGCTGATTTATATGAGGCAATAGACATTGGATTTAATTCCTACTAAAAACCAGTGAATCAAGCCAAACTGTCAGTGGTGGTGGTCTAAATTTTATTTCAATTACAAGAAAAGGTAATTCATAAGCCTGTTGTTGCTATCATTATTCTAAGGAATGTAGGGTTGTCATTGTTTCCATATATCCTGGAGCATATGTAAAAGGGATTGGCCAGTACGGGCAGATGGGTAAAATGGTTTATGTAACAGGTCTTCTCAGAGCCATCACTTATTTTTCCATGTAGATAAACATCTATATCCTTTCATATTAGTTTCTTTTTCATAAAAATTACTAGAGTTATTTCCTGTCTTGCTCCATTTGGGAAAAAACAAACAAACAAACAAACAAACAAAAACCAAAACCAGTAAGCTGTGAATGCCAGAGTTTTACCAAAAGTAATGTTTTACAGCAAAATTATGTCTTAAGCCTCATAAAAGTCTGTTGCAGTAATGGAAAAACTGATGGCATTTGATGGCTAGCTACACTGCGAAGCTCAGCCCCTTCACAGCTAGCTGCCAGAAATAGTTTTCTCTTTCCATCCTCAGCTCATTCTACCCCAAGCTCTTGACAGGCAAGACCTTTGTGAAGTATTATTTGAAGGATTTGCTTTGCAATTTGCCAGACTCCTGCCTCACATGCCATGTAAACTACCACTTCTGTGCTACTAGTCCAGGAACATCTTATTTAGCTAGAGACAGTGTATAAAATTTAAGTTAATTGATTTCCAGTCTCCCTGTAAAATCAATCCACTGTAACTCATGGTTTGGTTAACATTCATGAAGGTTTGTAAATGTTTTAAAAGGCATAACCATCCTAATTAGAGTGGCCTCTTTAAAACTCTGAGTCCCTGACACACACACAACTGAGAGCATCAGGAAGAAAAAAACACCATTTGGATGTTTTTTGATACAGGTGCTTTTTCCCTTGCAAAAGTTTATTCCTAAGTATTGCTTATGACTCTGCTGTATGCTAACCGTGTGTCATGCTGTTGTGTTCAATTTGCCTGGGCAGACATGTTACAGAAGGACTGCTGAGGGGTGTAGATCCATCCCAAGCCGTGCAATACTCTGTTATGGAAAAGGCCACTACAGCTGACACTCTGAAAAACCAGGAGGAGCTCAAGCATGCCCAGGGACATGCACAGCAAAACCTCACAGCAGTTACATCAGAATCCCAGGTGTCATCAGTCAAGTCAGAAGTCGTCCCCTTCTCAACAATGACAGTCCATCATGTGCAGAGCTCACCTGTTGTCATCCATCAGTCTCAGCACTCATCAGCCCTGGTCAACCATGCCCAAGGTTCACCCACTGCAGCGAGCCATAGCGAAGGTGTGCCGGCGGGTGGCCACCTCTCAGCCATCCCACCAGCCCCCCTGCAAGAGCCCGCAACAGGATCCCAGCCCACACAAGCCACGCCAGCACCACAGGTCTCTGTCAATGGCACCACCATGCAAAGTCTTTTCATTGAGGAAATTCACAGTGCAAGTACCAGAAACCGAGCTATATCAATTGAGGTACGGTGTATTCTACTCATGTAGTTATCCCCTCTTTGGGTCTGAGCTCCCAATCTCACTCTTGAGACTGAAGGTGGGGTTTCCAAATGCATTCTGGGGATTTATATGCTTAAGCCCTAGCTACACCATGTACTTCTGAAAATACCCTCTGATTTTAAATGGAACAAGATAATAACATGTGACCAAAATGAGGAACTGTGTTTTTTAAATAACCTTTATTTTTTTAAAAAAAATCTCTTTTTAGAATACCTTGGTTTTGAACAATAATATGTGATTCTCTGGCAACACTTGCATTGGTGGATTTCATTCACTTTTTAAATCTCCATATCCCTCATTATGGAGAAGTAAAAGTGAAAGAGT